CACTTCATCCCGACACACACGACGGCACGCACCGAGGAGACAGCACAGCTCTTCGTTCGTCATATCATCTCACAGCATGGCATCCCAACCACACTCATTTCCGACCGAGACCCCAAGTTCACCAGCAAGTTCTGGAAAGAACTTATGTCTCTTCTTGGGACCAAACTTGCCATGTCATCCGCATACCATCCGCAGACAGACGGACAGACGGAGCGCCTCAACCAAATTGTTGAGCAACTCCTCCGAGCAGCCTGCAAGGACGACATCTCCAAATGGGACTTGCACCTGCCCGTACTAGAGTTTGCTTACAACAATGCTACGCATGCCGCTACTGGACAGACGCCGTTCTTCCTCTGCTACGGACGCCACCCACTCACACCACAGAAACCGACAACATCCGCTACGGTACAACCTGCACATGATTTCATCACAACCATGCATCAGCTTTGGGATCGGACTCATAAGCGCCTCCTCGACATTCAGCAGCAACAAAAGCGCCAGGCCGATCGCCATCGTAACAACCACACCATCACGGTGGGAGACCAGGTGCTTCTTGACACCCGCAACCTGGACATCAGCCATCTTCCATCTAAACTTCGACCTCTCTTCTGCGGGCCTTTTCTCGTTGAAGCACAGGTCACTCCTGTTACCTTCTGCTTACGCCTGCCAGCTACCTGGAAGATTCACAACGCCTTCCATGTCCAGCTTCTGAAGCCCTACAAGGATCCGAACACGATCTTCGTCGGACGCCAACCGCCGCCGCCGCCGCCCGTCCTCGTCCACAATGAACCCGAGTACGAGGTCGAGTCTGTACTAGCACACCGCCGACGTCGGAATGGCACCGTGGAGCTTCTCATCCGTTGGAAGGGTTATGATTCTTCTGAGGACAGCTGGGTCCCTGAGTCCGACATGGGTAACGCCCGTCGTCCTCTGCATGACTACCTTGTCAAGCAGGGTGTTACTTCTACCACCCAGCTTTGAGGGGGGGAAGTGTGAGAGTACGACTCCGTTACACCACTTGTCCCTTTTCTTATTTCATTCCTCTTTTTATCTCATCTCATTTGGTTTCCTATTCTCCATTTTTCCATTATCCTTTGGTTTATCCTGTTATTATCATTATATCACCGACCAGGCTCGGGATGTACTGGCGCGCTATATCTAGCGTAATCCTGCCGTAATCCCTTAAAGCCAATAGCCTCGCGTGGCTATACGCATGGTGATTCTATCTTCTAGAAGGGTCTATTCCCTTAGCATAAGATAAATCTGGTTACCTGATATACTTTGGAAGTATAAAAGCGCCTTATACTGATCGATAGTGCAACCTTTACTCGACACATTCGATCCTGTGACAGAAACTTTCGAAACGTCCTTGACGACTTCTCGTGGTTCACCACAATGTTCTTGTTGGAGCGGAAGGCCGATGTGCCTACCATTCTCCTCCCGTGGCTTCTTGCTATTCGCGCCCACCACCGCCTGCCTGTAGTTCGCTTACACTCTTACCGTGGTGGCGAGTTCGCCTCTGGCTGTCTAAGACACAGCTGTAGCGTGTAGGGCATCCGCCAAACGTACCATTGCTTGACTCCCCATAGAAGAATGGGGTTGCAAAGCGACGTATCGGCCTGGTCATGGAGGTAGCTCGCACCTCCATGGTCCACGCCGGTGCACTTCATGTTCTGCGGCCATTCGTCGTGCGCTATGCAGCTCACTAGCTTAACCTATGGCATGCTCCCAACGGCCACAGGTTTCACCGACCCGTCTCTGGACTGGGTCTCTAGGCGACGCGTCGGCGTTTTACGTCTACAGCAGCCTCGCTCACGTGAGTGCACCTGGCGCGGACAAGCTCTCCATCTGCAACCTTCCTGTGCTCTAGGTAGCGTAGTAGATACAAGACATGGAGGTTGAGATGCCATCGTACAGATCCATAGGCACTTACGTCGACGCAGTTCCCCTGCCTGGGGCGAGCATACTCGATGGCATGTTGATTTACAGGGTGAAGCGTGCACCTGGAGATCCATCAAAACTCAAAGCGTGTTACAGTACGTATAATTTTTCCAGACTTTCTCCCCCACCCCGAAGATGACTACTCTTCATGTGCTCCTCCAACTAGCCGCGCGGCGAGACTACGAGCTTTACTCACTCGACTTCTCCACTGCCTTCCGACAGGGTAGTCTGCACGAGCAGATCTAGCTCTGGCGCCCACTAGACTTCTCTGGGTCCTTCCCACATGGGACCCAGTGGAGCCTGCGTTGCCTGCCTAAGGCCTGCACCAGGCGCCTTGTTAGTGGCACGACACGCTTCGCACCACACTTGCTTCTCTTCAATACTTTCCGCCCTCTCCCGCCCTTCCTCTCTTTGTTCGCACTAGTCAGACTCCGTTCTATATCCTAGTGTGCATCGATCTTATATTTGATATTCCTGACAACAATAGCCTCAATGAAGGTTGAATTGCTTAGGAGGCAGACTTTTATAGACCTAGGGGAGCCGAGGTGCTATCTGGGCTTGGAGATCTCTCGTGGCTGTGCCGCTTGCACGATCACAATTTTCGAGTCCCATATGGTGCAGCAGATCCTCTAGAGATTCAGACTCCAGTTCTCCTCATCATAGCCCACCCCTCTGCCTGTGGATTACAAGCTCTCTATTCCTGTTCCGACTGAGCTGGCCAAGCCTAGTGGTCCATACGCAGAGTTGGTGGGTTGCATCATGTACCTGATGACGTGCACTCGATCAGATATAACGTACTCTCTCAGTCTCCTTGCTCGCTTTGTGGCAACAGGCAGGCACCGACCAGTCGACTGGTCGGCCGCCAAGAGAGCACAGTGGTATCTAACGAGTACATTAGGACTAGGGCTTGTACAAGGAGGACGGGAGCCTGTGGTGCTCACTTGACACAAAGAAGCATCGTGGGCTGACGACCTGGAGTCGCCCAGGTCCTCTCAGGGTTACTGCTTTAGTCTTGGGTCTGGTGCAATCTCGTGAAGGTCCATTCGGTCGTCGTTAGTAGCTCTGTCCAGTTGTGAGGCAGAGATCTATGCTAGGGCCATAGCAGCCCAAGAGCTCTGCTGGCTGTCGTTCTTGCTCACCGACTTAGGTGAGCAACCAAGGTCTGCCCCGGTCCTGTTTGCTGACAACAGGGACATGATCCTCTTCTGTCAGGTTGCTCAACTTGAGGGCAGGGAAAAGCACATCCAGCTGCGGTAGTTCTTGCTGCGTGAGTTGCAGCAGGGCGGTCAGGCTCGTGTAGTACAATTGGCCTCAGACGCCAACACTGCTGATATCCTTACCAAGGCGCTACCGCCTCGTAACCATCAGCGGTTGTGCACTCAGCTTGGTCTTATCTCATTAGTAGCACCACTATTTGTTTCCTGATACATACCATACCTGCTCGTACTTGTTGTACTATACATGCTTGTCTTGCTACACTTGCTGATTGGCCTTATAGCCTTGTGTCTCAGTGGTTAGACTAGTAGTGTTGCCCTTGTGTGCTCTGCATTGTTATAAATTGCCACTATCTAGGCTAAGGGGTGTATCAATAAATATACATATATATGTTAGTAAGGTTATATTTGTTATATTCTAGTTAGTAGCTATATCAATAGCGTTATACTATAGAAGGACAAACAGTAGTGGCATAAGCAGTAGCGAGTCAATGCGTCAACAGTAGGTCTACGCTTCAAGTCACCTCTAGAGTCGCGCCATTTTACTGTAGGTCACACGATAATGGACTACGCTTAGTTATGTGAATAGTCACAATACATTCATAATGCACCCTGTATTACTTATTACTATTAGTCTTGTCATCACCGAAACTTCCTATACAAGGTGTAAGCCTTTACGGTACCAATGCGCTACCATTCCACTGACTCTAGATTCTGGCCTCTCACAAAATACTTCGGTTAGTTTTTCAAGGCCAATAAAGTATTTCGCTGCCTGTTGAGACCTCAAACTCAAGGATATGCATGCAGCTCAAATGTTTAAGTACGGAAACTTATTTATGGAAACTACTCTTACAATTAAGATCTCACCACACGCTTCCCTCTTCTTGCCGTTAGGGCGTGTCCCGCGGGTACGTTTGATTGCGGTTAGGTGAGGTGCTTTCCGAGTCAGAAGTACGAAGAACTGATTTGGAACGATTGGGTAGGGTAATGAGGGAGAAAGGTACACGCGGGACACGCCCTTATAATCGTCACTACATATAGTAAGTGCTTTGCCGAAACGCCAATTTCTCTTTCTACCATCAGCCTCAGAGTGCATCAGTGAAAATAAGTGTTCCAATTCTCTCTCCCTTACATTTGCCCGACAAATGGTTCAAGACATGCGTGAGGAAGGCTTGGTGCCTAAGCTGGCCTTCGGTTCGGCCTGCAGCGCCTAGCACCGCGCGTCCAATCACAGCAGGTGTCGCACCAAAGTCAAGCAGGTCTTCAACAGCTCTACCGAGCCAAAACGCAACCAAGACAGGCCCTTAGAGGTACATGACATTTTCCAGGATCATGACCAGGGGTCGCGACCTCAGGATCAAGTGTTCACGGGCTGCAAAGCGATTTAGTGCATTGACAAAAGGGTTCCAAAAGGTTTCATTTCGGTGAAGCGTAATCAATGCGCTATCATTACGCTGTGATCCTGCTGTGACCCTGACCCTTGCTGTCATGTACCACGCTCTTAGGTTTTGGTGTGCCTGTCCGTCCTACGTCATCCAACAACGCAAATTGCGCTGCATGGGTGTTCCTCGCACGCGGCAGATTACTGTGCTGGCTTCGAAAATTTCCTTGGCACCAATGGCCAACGACTTGGAAGCATGACATCGAAGCTGATATTTTTGAAGTACACATTAAACAGCGGTTCTGCACGGTTTGATGACGCTTACAAACGATCCAGTGCGACGGTGTGATAGTGTGTCTGACAGCATCACCATTTGCAGTAGTTTCTTGAAGACACGTCTGCAACCTGTGATTCCACGCCCTGACTACAGGAGGTACATATTGACTCCAGGTGTAAAAGAGCGAGAACTTCGAACTTATAGACGCTCGGCTTGTCAGGCCAACTCACGAACCACCCACGTCGCCAGAAGCAAGTATCATATTCAGGTAGTAGCACACGTCTTGAAGACCTCACGTCTGGGCGCACCGCGACAACGCTGCCCAACTACGGGCAATGGGGTCACAGGCGATACGGTTGTGTGCGATTGGGAGTAGTGATGTCGCGAGGGCGGTAGTGGTAGTAGCGCTGATGATGGCGCGCTGCTGCTTGCTGCCTCTCGCACGCGCTGCACCCGTGCTGGACTCTGACAGTAAGCCGACCCGCATTCATGTCACCTGCCCGCATCATCCCATCTCGGAGGGCTGTGTCTTGCCCAAAGTTTTGCGCCTTACTATAACGAAGATGCGGTCGGTTTTCAATGATTCACACCGTATTGCAATGTTTCAGTCTGTCCTTGATGCCATGGTGTGACATGAAATGACATGTATGCGTCGTTGTGGCCTATGGCATCATGTGGTGATGCATCCAGTGGGTGTGTTGGAGGACCTGGTATCGGCATGGGGCACTTTCAACGGCAGCGACACATGGAGCAGGGGCAGGGACTGCCGCACCATGACTGCTGTCTACTGCGATGAGGATGGCCATGTCATTGCGCTGTAAGTACCACGGCCCTAGGTGACCTCGCACAGCCGGCATGGCATTGGCACGGCATGGTATACAATAGCATGGCATGTAATGGCATAGCTTTGCATGTCATGGCATGGCATTTTCTTCCTGATCTCAATCATATTCTGAAAGCTGCCATTCCTAGACCCGACATTTTCGAGATGATGTCGAAGGTGGGATAACATGGCGTGGCATGATGAGAATCTTGTCAATGGGTGGTGATGCATGAGCACAGTATCAATCCTATGCATGGAAGTTTCTTCCTGATCTCAATCACATTATGACTTTGCTCTGTGCTCTCTCCCTGTTCTTCCCCTGCTTCGCAGCGACCTGCGTGACAATGAGCTCACATCAACCATTCCACTAGAGATCACATCCCTGGAGCACCTCGAACGGCTGTGAGTTAGACAAGGAGAGCCAATGGTCTGAGCGGAGTGGGTGGGGGGGCATTGCTGCAGAACATCGTGGCGTGGGTGTGAACAGGGCATTGGTTCTGTTCTTAACAAGTGGCGGAAACACTTATTTCAATTTATTATTCTTTGTGCAGGCTTCTTTTCCCCCTTTCAAGCTCGTTGTATGCCAGCCTCTACTCCTATCCTTGCTTGTGCTCCCACCCCCCCTCACACCCACCTTTTCCTTTGGGCACGCAGCTCCATCATCAACAGTTGGCTGATTGGCTCTCTACCAACATTTCTTTTCATGATGCCCAATATAAAAGACGTGTGAGTTCCTGCTCACGCCACTCGCCTCCATTCGGCTCGTGCCAGCCGTCTGTGCCCTCAGCGCAACGCCCTGTGCCCTCAGCGCAACGCCCTGTGCCCTCAGCGCAACGCCCTGTGCCCTCAGCGCAACGCCCTGTGCCCTCAGCGGAATGCTCCGTGCCGTCAGTGCATGCCCTGTGCTCTCCGTGTGATGCGTGCTCTAGCGCAACACCCTGTGCTCTCAGCGGAATGCGCCCTGTGGTGCACCATACCCACATTCCACAAATTGGTTCATTTAAAAACCATTTTGGGGGTTCGCAGCAAGGCCGGCCATTTCCGATGTTCTCCAGGAGCTTCAAGAAGGCTCTTGAAAGCATCAAGCAGATCACCCATTGCGTTTGGTGCACAAAGGCCCACTTAATTCTCATTGCGCAACCTACTTTCTTGTGCACGGCATTTGAGTGTGTCGTAAGCAAGGGTTTTTTAATGTCAGTTGTATGTACGCTTAACACGCATGCATGAGGTGTGTGCATGCACATCATCTTGGTGCGTCGTAACGAGTGTCCATAATTGGTGCATAGCCGTGTGTGTATGTGCTTGTGTGCATGTGCGCATGGTGGATGTGTGCCTGGTGCTTGTGTGCATGGTGCATGTGTGCAGTGTTCTCCCAGGAAATCTGCTTATAGGCAGCATACCCGACGTGGGAGACGCAACTGGCCTCCGATCCCTGTCAGTCCCCATACGTTCCTCCCACCGCCTCGTTTCCCAACCATTTTGAATGCCTCTACCACTCCTAACTGCTGTGCGCCAAACCTCCTCCCTGCTGCGCCTCCCCGTTCTCATCCCCATCCGGCTGGCAACAATCCAGCCAGCCAGTAGCCCCTGCTGTCCCCTCTCACTGTAGCACCAACCCTTTCCGTCTCTTTCCTGCAGTGTGATTGATGGCAACCAGCTCAGCGGCACCCTTCCCTCTTCCCTGGGCACCCTCTCTGCACTCGCCAACCTGTGAGTCTCCTCTTGTGCATTAGACTAGCCGGCTGGTGAACCATGTGGGGACATAGGTGCGAATGAGCACGTGGGGATGCATGCGCATGTGCATGTGGGTATGCAAGCGAATGTGCACCGTGAGTATGTGTGTATGTTGGTAAGCGAATGTAGTGGTGCATGGGTAGGGTCCTGAGAAGTCGCCATTCGCTAAGCCTCACATCGCTCTCTACCTTCCCCCAACCCTTTTGCAGCGTTCTGAGCACCAATGGCTTCTCGGGATCCATTCCAGACTCTTTCAGCAATCTGAAGAACCTTGTGTACCTGTAAGACATCGTGTGGTGTGGTGTGGCGGGCACTTCATCTAGCATGATTTCCACATCGTTACATGTGTGTGTTGAGGATGCCATGCACATGTACTAGTACTGTGATGCAACCATGCAGTGGCAGTCGTTCTCATCCCTCTCGAGCAACCCTAGCCTCACCATCCACACACATCAATATCTCGTGAACACAGCTCCTGTCCTGCCAAAAAATTCCCATCGCTGTCCTGGCCTGCACATCCCTGCACTGCTTTTCGTATCCCACTCTATGCCAGGCGGTTGAACCATGGAAGCATCTGCAACCCAGCTTCCTCCCTTGCACTCCCTTCCATTCGCCCGCAGCTCTTTAGAGTACAATGGCTTCTCGGGTCCCATCCCTGCCTTTCTCAGCAACAGTCCTGCAATGAAGTACCTGTACGCCCTGAGCTTCTTCTGTTTCACGGATACCTCTCTCACAGATACCTCTCTCATAGCACAGAAGCATCTGTTATGACGCACATACCTCTGGTGTGGTACCTCTGTTGTGGCACGAATACCTCGTTCTTTGGCCTCTTAACGAGTGTAACCACCCGCATCTGTTCCCTCTGTGTAACCCATGCCCCCCCCTGCATCCACCTCACCTCTATCTCTCTGCTTAGTTCCTTGCATCTCCATTATTCGTGTATCTCTTACGTACCTCCCCATCCCCCCCATGCTGCCATGGCCCTGCGGCAGCGTACTGCAGTACAATCAGTTCACAGGGCAGATACCCGACTCCCTTGGTGACCTCACCAACCTTCGAGTGCTGTGAGTTGAAACCACTGGCATCACAACCTCCGAGCGCATTTGCAATGCATGCAGCGAGCGCTCGTTTTCCCTTGTAGGACCTTCAAGCAGATGCACAAGTCGCGTAAGGATGGGAGTTGAGACCACAGGACAATGCAGGACGAGTACGGGCACACGAAGGGATGGCAGGCCACCGAAGGGCAGCAGAAGGGGGGTGTGGGACAGGGTAGGGCATGGATAGGGGTTTGCGCACAGACAAGGTGGGGCGAAAGAAGGGCATGGGGGCAGAGATCGACTGATCATGCTAGATGGGTATACTTTCCTCCGTTTCCTTCCTATCCCCACGTCTTCAATCTCCCACACTTGTTCTTCCTTGCGCAACCTACCCTTTCAGGACTGTGAAAGGAAATCTGTTAACTGGACCTATCCCAACAGCACTTGGGAACTGCACTTCTTTGACTGAACTGTAGGCATGGGAAGGGATGGATTCGTACGTGAATCATGGGATGACACGTGTCGTTCTCTGCTCATTGTCGCTTCTATCCGCTCCTTGTCGCTCTCAACCTTACACATCCCTGTAAGCCTTCTTCTGGCTCCACTAGTGTACCACAAGGACACTTATTCTTGTCCTTCATTCTGCGTCACATAATCCTCTCACAATCATCCCTCCATCATGTTGCACGCATCCTCCTTCCCCTCTCAAGTCTGCTCTTCCCCCGCCATTTTGCACACACATGCCAGCAACTCCCCGTCTCGAGTCATCGCTTCCATTGACTGCCTTCAACTCAACCTCACAACCCCTCCCTCTGCTATGCAGCGATGTGAGCTGGAACAAGCTCTCAGGGTCCATCCCCGGCATCCTTGGCAGCCTCCAAGGCCTGAAGCGCTTGTGAGAGCAAATTTTCCATGGGGGTGTGGGAAGGGGTTGAGCTGAATGCAGGGGAAGTGGGAAGAGCATCCTCCGTGTGATGGCAGTGAAAGCAGCGGGGGTAAGAGTGGTGAGTGAATGGGACACGTGAGCAAGGCATGGTGTATGGCAGTGGAAAGGCTGGTGATGCTTCTGTGGTTCCATGTCACGCTCGCTTGGACTTGCACTGAGTTCTAGTTTTTTTTTTTAATCAAAACATTGACAGTTTTTGTCCTGTTCTCTGTTCTCAAAGCATAAGGCTAAATTCTCTGCAGAAGGTGGTGAGGCCAAGTCACCTCCGTAAAAAGGCTGAAAGGCATGTCATGTTGCATCCATCGTGCATGCAGGGATGTGCATCAGAACTTGCTGAGTGGCCCTCTGCCAGACGAGCTGTCACGCCTGCAGCAGCTGGAGCGCTGGTGAGGGCCGGTTTGATCACTGATCACAGAGCGGCTGCAAGTGCATGCAACCCCACGGCCACGGCCTGCTGGCGTCTGCGTCCTGTTGTCCTCCTACCTTCCTCTTGCTTCCGTTTCAACTTCTGTGGCCTTGCCTTGCTACCTTTGCCGTTACATCACCCCTGATGGATGGCCATCATCTTGTATGCCATTCCAGATTGTTTCTTATGCGGGCATACAAAGGAGAGAATGATGGGACGATTATCAGCAAAACTCAATGGACTGTGGCCAGTCAATCAAGGTCCCTTTCACGCGACTGTGACCTCCGTGCCCATGGCATTGACAATATGCGTCCTTTATCATTCGTGTCGTTTTCCCATTCACCTGGTCACAGGGATGCAAGCACGAACTCTATAAGTGGGTCGTTGCCTGCATGGATTGACAACCTGAAGAACTTGAATCTGCTGTGCGTACCACCATGTGTGATGGCTAGTGCCATGCGTGCATCCCAACACTCATCTTGCTCCATTCAGCCATCTCATACCCCACATTCAAATTTTCAAGTCCTAAGTTCCAGTAGTCGCCCCTTGTGCGCTAACAATGAGGCTTTTCTTCGTAACAACGCCTGGTCAAATCACGCCTCAAGTGCCCCTGTACTTCATGCCACCACCTGTTCAACAGCTACATTAAAGCCATAGATCACCTTCTGGTGCTCCGTGCAGGGTCCTCGTTCTTCGTGTTGCCCCGTACCCCCTCCCCCCCCCCACCTCCCCTCCCTTCTGTTTTATTGCCCTCCGATCCCCCCCTCCCTGCCTGCCATCCCTGTCCACTGTCGCTCTCTTGCCCTGCCATCCTCTCTCCGAGCTGCAGTGGCCTGAGCGAGAACGGGCTCCGGGGCTCCCTTCCAGACACACTGGGCAACATGAAAAAGCTATCTTACCTGTGTGTAAAACCCGGGGGTAGGAACGCACGGGTGTCATGGGATGCAACAGTGGGAATTGAGGCGGATGGTGTGCTGGGTGGGAGGGTGGTCACTGAGTGAAGAATCTATTTTCCGTGAAATAGGTCTCACGGATAATAGGAGACCATGATGGTGGTAAGGCACATGACAGCGAGTGGAAGCATGGCTCCGCAGGGTGCTCATGTGCCAATGTGACACTGGCGTTGCGTATGCCGAGCCTCTGCGGTGAGAAATATAGGCCAAGGTCTCGTCTCCTTCCCCACCTTTCTTTATCCCAATGTTCCCTCTCTCAACCTAACCCCAAATTTCTCGCTCCCACACACTTCCATTCTTCCCCACCCCCTCGCCGCTCCCACCCGCCACACGCTTCCCCCCTCAGGTGGCTCGACTACAACATTCTTTCTGGATCCATCCCCGAGTCGATTGGAGAGCTCACTGGCCTGGAGACGCTGTACGATGGAAGGCAGAAGAGGGCTCATGAGAAGATATTCATGCTGTCTAGGCCCTAGCTGGCAGCTGCACCCTACTCTCAATCGCACCTGCGTCCCTCAACACTGTAGCACAATGGCCTTGTCTCAGGCTGTTCAGACAATCCAGCACTGTTTGGTGCTTAGGCGGTACTGTGCAGCTGCCCGTTTCACTGGGCGCAAATTTTCGGGAGTCATATGAAAAATCACCACATTTGCACACGAGGTAACTCTCATTGACCGGGGTTGCCAGGTAATGCAGCAGCACGGATTGGAAGGCATGTCTTTTTACATAGGTGACATCTCATACCACTGCATTGCCATGGCATGTGGCAGGCTCCTGGATCACAACTATCTGTTTGGCACCATCCCTGCATCCATGAACAACCTTCAGCGACTCACTGCCATGTGAGTCTCTTCTACTATCTTTTCCGTGTGCGCCAGGGAAATGCTGTGCTTGAGCTAGATTGCTTGTCCAAGGACCGCTTGGGAGTAGGTACAAAGGGGATAATATCGAAGATGATGAGGAAGGTGCAATATGGTGGTGCACCGCCTTTATGTTCGATAAATGGAGGCACATGTTTGGTTAGTTATAGTCATGAAATTGAAGAGATGAAGCGAACAGATTGGAAGGGCATATTATTCGGCTACTGCGGTCATGTTTCTAGAAGAAGCCTCTTACAATGTGTACTTTACCCACTGCTATATTTATTTCTGCTGGTGTCAATCCAAATGCAGGACTCTGTCTTTTAATTACCTGGTTGGAGAGATACCTGCAGCATTCAGCACATTCACTCGCCTCCGATACTTGTGAGTGTGCTCTCACAGCCCATGTCACTCCGTGCACTTATAACAGCACTTACAACTGCATAACTTCCACTCCTCTGCATCCTCCCATCGCTCTCATCCATTTTTTCCAGGTGGTGTGACTCTTGTGGCCCTGCAGATTCTAGCCCTCTGGACCATTCCCTTGTCACCGTCGATCAGTGTGAGACGTCTGCACGCACCTCCTTTCTAACTCCTCCCAATCCCCCCTCCCCCTCCCTACCCCCTCTTTTGGACCCAGTGTTGTGGAGTTCAACCAACTGGTGGGGAAGCTGCCCTCTCTCAAGATCATGCCGTCGCTCAAGGCCGTGGCAGCAGGCGGCAACTTCCTCACTGGTGCAGCAGAGGCACCCCCTGCATGCCCCACGTACCAGCTGCTGCTGCACGCCAACTGCTTCTCTCGCAACCTCACCATCTGCGGCAGCGAACAAACACAGAAGAGCGCTGGTTTTTGTCAGTGGTTCTGTGGGAACGAGCCCCTGAGCCCCCCTTGCAGTGGCCATGGAGTGTGCTACGTCCTGCCTCAGAGCAGTGATCCTGAGTGTGGTTGCGACTATGGGTACACAGGTGGAACTACCGCAGCCACGTGTGTCCCACAAGGTATGGCCCGGAACCCTAAACCCTAGACAGTACTACCTAACCAGGTGATGTAAACACCCTCTTGCCCTCTCCAATCAGATAAAAAAATCCTTTGTCACCCGACATTTTCCCGTGAACTAGGTTCGGCCAGACATAGCTCACAGGCAAATCTTGGACGACGTTTGCATCCAATGCAACTTCTGAAAATCCTACATGGACCTTGAATGCACAAAGAATTTTGAGATCTGAAGGTGCTCCATCTGGGCCTTAAGTACAAACTCACAGAGCTTGAAAGATGGGAAAAAAAGAGGAAGCGAAATCAAAATGAGAAATGGCGACATAGCAGACAGGCCGATTCAGGAAAAATCTCTACCGGATGAGGATGGAATTATCTATGAATCCAACCAATCCGCTAACCTGAATGCAATCAGCGTACGCAAACTGTTACTATGCTTGCGATCATACAGGCGTCCCTGTGTCCTGCACTACACATCACCCTTCAATAATTCACCTTGACACGTTTATCCTCGTCTGTCTGCCTGCCTATGTCTCCTTCAGGGCCGTACATCCCTTCCCTCCTCACGTCCTACTCACACCCGATGGCTCTCTTCCAGTCGGCCTCCTCTGCCCCCAACGGCTCCATCTTCCTCTCCTCTGCGACATCCACTGCATCATGGGGAGCAGCCTTCACACAGCAGCCCATCGCCCTCTTCCTCCCCACCACCCGCAAGGCGCCCTGCGACCAGCCCATTGCCTTCGTCGTGCACTTCGCATTTCGAATGACCCCTGCTGCTGGGGCTGCTGGCGCAGGCACCACGGGCAGCAGCTCAGGAGGCGAGGGCCTGGCGTTTTTAGTGAGTGCGGTGGCACCGCAGGGGGCTGCAGCAAGTGTTGGGCTGGGAGGGTTGGGGAAGCGAAGTGTTGGAGTGGAGTTCGACTCGGTGCAGAGTGTGAAGCACAGCGACCCCAACGACAACCACGTGGGCGTCAATGTGGGCGGCTCACCTGTGTCCCTCGCCTCCGCCACGGCCCCTCTCATCCTCAACGACGCCCAAACCAAGCACGCCTGGATCCACTACGACCCCACCAGCGGCGGCACTCTCCGAGTCTTCCTCTCAGCCTCCAGGCAGCAGCCGTCAAAGCCTCTGCTGACGACAAGAGTGTCTCTGTGCAGCGCGCTCAAGCCCACCATGGGCGATGCCTCCTTCCTCTTTGGCTTCGTCGCTGCCTCTGCCAACAATACTCAGAGGCATGATATCCTGTGGTGGGAGATTGTGACGGGTGAGTGCTTTGTTCATGACGTGCCACATTGATTGACATGAAGAGTGAGCCCGATGCCAGTGATTCGCATGAACCAAGCATTAGACTGCATCTTTTTACAAGTTTTGGAAGGCTGACCGAATCAAATGCATGCACGCTGTGTGTGTGTGTGTGTGTGTGTGTGTGTGTATGTGTATGTGTGTGTGTGTCTCTCTCTCTCTGTGTCTGTGTGGATGCATGTGTGTGTCTGTGGATGGTGTGTTCTCTCGTTTCTGCATGTATCTTTCTCCTTTATTATGTCTGTGCGTGCTTGTATGCAGGCGTACCATCTGTGGTGGACTGGCAGCAGCGGCCTCATGGTAAGTTCTTGATTTCTTCGTTTATTTCTGTCTGTGCGTGCATGTCTGTGCAATTCTATGCCCAGCTTCTCTTCGACCTTGGATCTTACCATGTAGTCCAGCGAGTCGTTTTCTCTTCAACCCACCCTGCAACCCTCCAGGCAGTGCATTTGGGCGGGTGGCATCAGCAGAGGAGGTGGCAGCAGGCAGTGAGGGGGAGAGTGCGCCCTCCTCCTTCCACTATGCCAGCCTTGCCTTCCAAGCCAATGCAGATGGGCTGCCTTCCTGGAACCTTCCGCCTTTTGTCTCTTGGATGCGGGACGAGACAACATGGCCTCTGAAGAACCAATATGGATGTGGTATGGCATGGATGGGATATGGAATTGATGCAGTACAGCATTAATTTGGCATAGCTTGTCAGTCAACGTCCTGCTGTGATGGACTGCATTGTGTTGGACTGATGCATTCGCATTCTTCTGAAGGTTACCCACTGTCTGCACCACTATGTATGCAGTGATAAGTGCGCTTCACCAGGTGTCCTCTTGCTCATCCCTTTGCGCCCCTCCCTGGCCTCCAGCCGACTCGTCAGCCTATGCAGTGGTGGCAGCGGTGGAGGCAGCCTACAGCATCGCGAGCAACGGGTCGCAGCCCCCCGTGCTATCTGTGGAGCATCTGCGTGTGGACCTCTCGTCCAACTGCGACGACATGTCTCCCCGCGATGTGCTGGCCTTCCTGACGGCTGCCACGCGCAAGGGAGGGGGGCTCGTGGATGAGGCAGCAGCAGCGGGCGCCACTCAACGCAGCATGGCGTCTGCAGGCCGGCGGGAGAGGCTCCAGGTGAGGCAAGGCGAGTGGGCGGGAGAGGGTGCAGGTTAGGCAAGACAGCCAAGTGGACATTCGGGGGAGTCGAGGACTTGCTGAACGCACAGTGGGCAAGGTGCCGTTGCATGTCCACAGTCCCTTCCACGTATCTAATTTCTTCCGCGGCCTTTATTTTCTCGGTTTCTGGTTGTACTTGCCATCTTGCTCCAACTCGCCCTTCTCTGGCTTCCTTGCCCTACAGAAGCCCAAGTACTACGGGATTCAGGGCTTTGAGGAGACCTCGTTTGGCGGGTGGCTGGGGCTTCTGCTGGCCGTGCAGCGGCAGCCAGTGGTTGTGAGAATAGAGGCATCCGCACCATCGTTCATTGAATACGATGGGGTGAGTTGCCATGCTGTGATCTGGGGAGGGGCCACGGGTCAGTGATGGATGGGTCGAGCTGCCAATAATATTATATTTTGTTAAGTATATCTGTGCAGTCCATCTCACGGGCTCCCTGCTTGTGGGCAACTGTTTGCTGCATCCGAGACTTTATTTCCTCCTTCAATCCCAACACCCCCGCCCCGCCCAGACGTCCAAGTACGCGGACAGCAGCTGCTTCCACGGGGCGGTGAACCACGCGGTGCTGCTGGTGGGCTATGCTGTGGAGGGCAGCGCGTCCAGCCCTTTCAGTCTGCCTGCGCCACTCTGGGTGATCCGCAACTCATGGGGCAGCGGGTGGGGGGATGCAGGCCACATGCTCATGGACATGCAGAGCGGCCCGGGCGTCTGCGGCATCAACACACTTCCGGGGCTCTTCCCCATCCTCAGAGGTACAGCCTATGCATCTGCTGCTGGCTGTTATCAGGTTGATGCATCTTTCTGCCATTTGCGTTTGCACTACGGTGCCAGTTCCCATGTTCCCTGCCACTGACACTATGGTCTGCTAGATGCCATGCCTGCTCCTATTTCTGACGCTTGTCTCACGTGTGTTTGGTGCACGGCGTTCCCCTGTGCTGCTCCTGTGTCTGCCATGCCGCTTGTCCCTGGCAGCTGCTGCTGACCCATGTGGCAGCAAGTCCGTGCAGCTGACAGCATCAGCGGGAGTGGCAGCAAGCAATGCGTTCAACCCGTGTGGGCAGTTCAAGTGCTCCAAGGCCGGAGCATCCAACCGCTGTGCCTGTGCTGCTCCCCTCTTCGTCCAGGTCGCTCACTCCGACGGCTCCAACACATGCGCCTATGGTCAGCCCCTCCCATCCCTCCCTCACACACCCACCCTCTTGTTATGTTTCTCGTTGCCCCTATTGCCTATGTTTATATCTTCCCGCTAATGCATCATTTTCCCCTTCTCTACCCCTCTCACCCATGTCGACCCTTGCCAGTGGATGCGTGTGGGCTGGCAGGCAGCAACCCGTGTGTGGTGGGCACGTGTGTGAACGATGGCAGGGGCAGCTATTCCTGTGTGTGTCCGCTAGGGTTTGTTCAAGGCCCCACAGCTGAGGGAACCCTTTCCTGCGCTCCCGGTACAGTCTTGTTTGCTCCTCTGTTCCTCCTCGCCCCTCTATCCTCCTCGCCCCTCTGCTCCTCCTCGCCCCTCTTCTTCTCCTTTCCCCAACGCTTCTCCTCGCCCTGATTTTCCTCCTTGCCCACTTCAGCCTCCTTAACCCTCTGCTCCTTCGCACTGAAGGAGGGGTTGAGCACTTCGAGGGGTTGTTTCCATGATGATGGTTGCTGTACAACGGTTCTGGCAGGAACGATTGCTGAGTCCATAATGATGGTCGCATGCTGTATCGATTGCACGCTGTGGTGAGGGGTGCAGGTGACAGCAAGGGCAGCTACACGGTGCGTGGAAGCAATGTGCGGTGCTCTCACTTGCTGCCTGTGCTTGGCCTCCCACTGGACCAACTCAAGCAACAGAACAAGGTCGGCACGCATCTCCATTCTTTTGGCCAACAGTCTTCTGTTTTTTATCCCGTGTGAATTCATCAGCGCCCATTCCTCCCTCGTGCCTGCAGAAGCTCTCCTGCTCCAAGCCCATCCCAGTGGGCTTCAAGCTCACTGTCAAGCCGCCTCAATCACTTCCCAACTGCTCTCTTTTCTACACCACCCAACCTGTGAGTGCGCTCAACCCCACCTGAATAGCACCCAACCTCTCACGGTGCTGCTTCTTGCATGGGCACTGCTTCTCGACCAATGCTTCAGCTGTTTCCAGGTTGAGTGCGAGACATTAGAAATGGTCAATCGACTCATGGAAATACCCTGTGCTGTGTGCAGGGCGACAGCTGTGCATCAGTGGCAGCGCTCTTTAACCTGACCGAGGGGTGCCCCGTGGAGGGCGAGGCATGCGAGGAGGCGGTGGTGGGGCTCAATCCTGGGGTGGACTGTGCAGCGCTCGCGGGCAGCCAGGTCGTGTGTGTGGAGCGGGAGGAGAGCAAGGCGGGGGTGGTGGCAGTGTGTGAGCAGCAGTACGAGCTGCAGGGCAGTGGCAGCTGCGATGCTGCAAGGATGGCCGTGGATCCACCTCTGAGCCCCTTGGAGTTCTACCGCCTCAACCCCGGCATCAACTGCAACACCCGCCTGCCGACTGATTCAATAGAGGGCTACTCACAGCGCAAGGTAAGCAGCGCTCACTGGTGTCAGGTCTGACCACCCAGTCATCTTCCTCACGGCCAGCTGAAGAGGATTCTCCAGTCGATCACCCACAAGCCATTAACCCGAGATCCTTTGTGTCCTCTTGCAGGTGTGCATTGGCAGCAGCACCAGGTACAAGAGTGGCAAGTGCCCTGCAGGCATGTACAGAGTTCAACCTGGAGACAGCTGCGCCATGATTGAGGTGAAGGGGTTTGCCAGCATTAAGAGCTGCTACAGGAAGATGAACGGGTTTGAGTGCTTGGAGAAGATGCCCGTGGGGACAACTGTCTGCACCCCTGATGCTTCTGGTGCCAGAGTGGGAATATGCTCAATGGGGGTGTAGAAATGCATGAAAGCGTAGGTATGACAGCTCTTGCACAGCATTTCATTCACCCACTTTTTTAGCGGGAGATTTTGATTCGCTCACTTCAGGGTAAAATTGTCAACATATTGATGTATATTGTAATAGGCTAGATAGGTGCATGCTATAGCGAGTACAGCACCTAGCACAAAACTACCCTGTACCACCCTTCCAAGTCTACTTCGTTACCTTGAGGTGGTATCACGCTAGGATAGTTTCTCCTCGCCCACCCGCGCCTCAACCTTAGGCCTAGTCCTAGCCGTAGTCTTAGCGCTAGTCCTAGTCCTAGCCCTAGCCTGCACGCCCCGCTCGTCGCCCCGAGCTCGTAGGCCCTGCTCGTCGCCCCGCGCTCACTAGCCCGAACCCGTCGCCCCACGCTCGCTGGTCCGCGCTCGTTGCCCCACGCTCATAGGCCCGCGCTCGTCGCCCTGCGCTCGTAGGCCTCGCTTGTCGCCCCGCGCTCACTGGCCCGCGCTCGCCAGCCCACCCACTGGAACAGAAGCCACAAGGCCCGTCATGGTAGTATAAGATATAGTACACAATCAAGGTCCTAGCAAGTGAGAAACTACAGGAACTAGACCAAGCTGTACACAGTGCCGCTGATGATCTTTACGCGCAAGCGCCTTTGTAAAGATATCAGCTGTGTTGCCACCGGAGGCCAAGTGTACTACACGGGCCTGGCGACGCTGCTGTAGCTCACGTAGGAGGAAGTACCACTAGTGGATGTCCATAGCTATGCCCTCCAGTCGAGGCTCCTTACAGTGGAGGATCATGGCCCTGTTGTCAGCATACAGGACCGGGGCAGAGGTAGGCCGCTCGCCTAAGTCTGTTAGCAAGAGAGTCAGAAAGCAGAGCTCCTGTGCCGCCAAGGCACCAGCGTAGATCTCAGCCTTACAGCTAGACTTTGCTACAGACGACGAACGTGTGGACCTCCAGAAAATGGCACCTGCACCAAGGCTAAAGCAGTAGCTCTGGGAGGACCGGAGCGTCTCAGCGTCGTGTGCCCATGAAGCGTCTGTGTGCCCTGCAAGGGCTACAGGCGTGCGTCCTCCTAGCACTAGCCCGATGCCCGATGTACTTGCTAGATAACGCAAAACCCTCTTAGTGACCGTCGAGTGCTGTGTGGTCGGTGACTGCCGGTGGCCACAAAACGAGCCATGATACAGAGAGGGTATGCGAGATCTGGACAGGTGCAAGTCATCAGGTACACGAGGCAACCCACCAGCTTTGCGTAAGGACCACTAGGCTCTACAGACTCCTCAGGGATTGGAGCCGAGAGCCTGTGATCTAATTGCAGAGGAGAATTGAAGACCGAACGTATAAAGGACCTGGCGCACCAAGTGTGACTGTGTGAGAGTGATGATGCGCACTCTGTCCCTTAAGATCTGCGGGCCAAGTTAGCAGCGTAGCTCTCCAAGGTCAGTGGAGGTGTTTCTCCTCAGCAGCTCGGCCTTCAGTGCGTCTCTGTCTGCAATAGCAAAGACCAGGTCATCTACGTAGACAAGGATGTAGAACGGGGTCTGGCCAGAGGACGGGAAGAACTGCAGGTCAGCTAACGTAGCACGAAGTGTGTCGTGCCACTCGCGCGGCGTCTGCCGCAGGCCGTAAACCGGTCGCCAAAGGAGCCACTCGGTCCCCGAGGCGAAGATGCCGGTAAGGCCTGGCGGGCGACGAAGGTAGAGTTGCTCGTACAGACTGCCCTGAAGTAACGTTGTTGAGAAGTCGAGGGAGTGCAGCTCGTAGTAGCGCTGTGCTGGTACGTGTAGCAGCGCTTGAAGAGTAGTCATCTTCGGGGTCGGGGCAAAGGTCTGGAAGAAGTCAATACCCTTGCACTGACTGAAGCCTCCAGCAACGTAGCGCGCCTTGAACACCAGCGGCTCTCCAGGAAGGCGCTTCACCTTGAAGAGCCATCGGCCATCGAGTACGTTCACCCCAAGTGGGGGAACTGTGCTGGCGTAGGTGCCGGTGAATCTCCAAGATGCTATCTCCGCGTCCATGGCAGCTATCTACAGAGAGGCCCAGGTTCCCGAGGTCGCCTCTGCATAAGTGCAAGGGATCGGGATGCCAAAGGCGTCTGGGTCCCTCTCTAGGACTAGCAGCACGGAGCAGAGATGAGACGCGGCCTCGAACAGGAAAGCAAGCTCTTACTGCTGGTTCTCCAAGACATCACTGCCAAGTGTAGGATCACCCCCGACGGACGGAGGACGAACAGGGTAAGAGACGAGAGCGGTGGCATAGTCAAGGCAGCGGGTAGAGGCGAAGTTAGTAACGGCAGCGATAAGAGCGTCAAGATTCGAGACAGGAACAAGCGGGTTGGTAACAAGAGAGGTGAGGACCCGAGGAACAAGAGGACTAGTGGCACGAAGGTAGTCAGACAGAGTTGGCGGAGCGAAAACAAGCGACGATGAAGGAGGCAAGAGGAGGAGGGAAGGACGAGACACATGAGAATGGAGCAACATAGGGTGAGAGCGCTGAACAGGAGAGACAGGACGAGCACGGGAGGGGCGGTGAGTCTAGAAGTGGGATGGAGGCATCAGGTCATGAGACACAGGAGGAGACGCAGGAGGAGAACGAGGGGGGAGACGAGCCAGAGACAAGTTCGGCAGAGGAAACACAGAGCCGTAGACAAGCAGGGGAGGTAGTAGCGGGGGAGGCGCAGGTGGGTGGTCAGGAAAGGGAAGACCAAGGATACAAGGGCGGACACCGGCGGCGACTGCTACTGCTGCTGCTGCTACATGCTGATACCTGAACTTCCAGCTGCACCACGTCACTTCCGGAACACTCCACGCCAACACCCCCAGAGCGAGAATCCTCTCCAACACCGGTGCTACCCTTAGGACCACCGGGACGAGCCACAACTGTAACCCTGGGACTAGCACCCCCACAAAGAGGACCCTCTCCGGCACTAGTGCCACCCCCAAAACCACCGGGACAAGCCACGAGAGGTTCCGCAGAACGTGTACCCTCCTCAACGCCTACACCCCCAGAGCTGGCAGACACCTGTGGCGGCTACTGCTGTGGCGGCGACATCGTCGACTTCGGCGGCTGCTGCGACGGAACACGAGGAGACATCGGGGCAGAGACAGGCGGTGAGATCGGCGCCACGGGGCCACCAGAGTCAGCCGACTCCTCGATCAGGACAATGGATGAGAGGGGAGTAACGTGAAACACACCAGACGAGGCAGGATGGGGAGGGAGAGGTGCAGGGGCTATCGGGGGAGTGGGAACCAGAAACAAGGGTGGGGAAACTGGGAGACCTCGGTGAGGAAAGCGGTGGTAGGAGGAGGTAGACTCGTCAAAGGTGACGTCACGCGAGTGAAAGAAGCGGTGAGTCGGCGGGTGGTAAAAGTGCAGTCAGACGCGTCAAGGGGGAAACCAAGGAAGACAGAGGAGATAGTGTTGGCTGTGAGCTTGTCCGTGCTAGAGGCACGAACGTGAGCAAGGCAGCCCGAAACGTGGAACGCAGTCGCGTCACCAGGGAACCGGTCTAGAGAAGGTGTTGTCTGATGTCATCATATGCTATCACATTCTGTCTACCTCCCATCCCATCTTTTCAACTTGCATGTATGGTTTGACTGTATGTGAAAGAATTTGTGTGTGGTGTGTTCTGGAGTTTGGGAATGTGTTTTGTGTTATTTTGTTTGAGCAGGTATTTGTGATGACAGATCTTGAGAAGATCTTTCGGACGCAACAAGAATCGCTTCAATCGGAGCAAGAACGCGAAAGCTATGAAGATTCAAGATATCAGAGCAATATTAAGGACATTAAGAGGAGTCTACAGAAGTTTGAAGACCCTTCTAGACCCACCATGGCCGGTGGGTGTGCCTAAGTGGTGTTCTAAAGGTTGGATGTGTCTTCCGCTAAGAGAAAACTCTGCCGAAATTTCGTGGACGCCGACACTTGTAAAAATATCGAGGGAGCTGAGTGTGGACAGCAAGGGGGAGCTGAAATTCATCATTTCTCAAGGAGAAGATGAATGAGAGAGGAGGAGATGCTAATGGAAGAGGAGCTGTACCTGAGAAGACAAGTGAGCCACCGCCATCAAAAGTTGAAGCTTTGGATGGCTCCAACTATGAGGAATGGAGCGGGCGGATGAGGAGTGCCTTCAAACGCTACAAGCTACTGAAGATTGCTGTTGGGGAGGAGAAGATGCCGGAAGAAGGCGAAGCACGTGATCGGTGGATTGAGAAAAGCGCGGTGCTTTTCGACCTCATCCTTCAATCGGTCAACAAGGAGATGTTCGAGAACATCAAGGATCTTGTGGAAGCGGATGATTCGGGTCCAAGGGCGTGGAAACTACTACGCGATGTGATTCAGTCCAACAATCTCCCGATGGTGATCGTTCTCGAGAAGGAACTTGCTGCCATCTCCATGCGACCAGGGGACGATGTGAAGCCGGTCCTTGACAAGATCAAGGACACATATGCAAGGATGGCAGCAGCGTGCAGCAGTGTATCTCAGCTGCAGCAGTGCACCAAGATCATCTCGGTGTTGGACAACTCTTGGGACAACCTCATCCCCACCCTCAACTCTCAGCAAGATCAATGGACACCTGAGTGGCTAAGGCAGCAGATTCTGCAGGAGGACTTCCGTAGACGCCATGTGGGAGGTGGTGCTTCCACTAAGACTGCCGAGGGGTATGGAGCTGCAGGGCGTGGCAGAGGAAGAGGGGGTTGGAGAGGCCGAGGCCATGGGAGGAGCTTTGGCAGAGGTAGAGGCCGAGGTGACTATAATGAGGGGCATGGGAGCTCCAGTGGCAGGAGGAGTACCAGAATGGAGGGCACTTGCTGGTACTGCAAGAAGGTCGGGCATCCTTGGTTCAAGTGCTTCAGCAGGCCGGAGGGATGGGCACCTCCAAGCATGAAGCCACCCAGTGGTGAACGCGCACAAGGTGGCACTGTGCAAGGCTCAGGTGCTCAAGGTAAAGGTGCACAAGGTAATGCCTATCCTGGGATGTTTCTCATAGTTGAGGATGTGCATGGGCATGAGGGTGATGTGGGATCTGTGGGAAAGGTTGTGATGCACCCTCTCACGCACTGGGTGATTGATTCAGGTTGCACCAGTCACATGACCCCACGGGCAGATTTGCTTGATGAGGTAAGACCCCCTGGGAAGATTAAGTTTGTGGCAGCAACGTCAGGTGCTTTGCTCCCTGTCATTGGTGTTGGGAATGCCAAGGTTAAGGGAGCTAATGGGGAGCTTGTGGGGCTTAAGAATGTTATGCTGGCTGAAGGTTTGTCTGCTAACCTTCTCTCTGTGCGGCGATTGCAGAAGAGCAAGGCCGAAGTGACCTTTGGACCAACCAGCTGTCGTGCTAAGCTTGGGAAGAAGGTGCTGTGGAGTCTGGAAGAGGAGACCAGCTGCATCAAGGACGTGTGGCAGCTGCCCATCATCCCTTGGAATGGGAAGACTCCAACAGCAGCAACGGCAGCAGCGGCAAAGGCAACAGCAGGAGGAGATGCAACTGCACCAACTGATGGGGTCCTGGAAGCGGTCAAGAAATTGCAGCAGCAGCGGACTCATGGTGAGGTGCTTGGTGGTGTGGATGCGCGCGCGGCATGGGCTAAAGCTTCATCCAAGAGTGGTGAGGCCGATTGGGAGACATGGCATGAGAGGCTACGTCATGTAAACTTCCCTATGCTGCAGAAGTTGGTGAAGGATGGGAGCCTTAAAGGATTGGAGGTCAAGGGGGGAGTGAAGGAGATTGGGAGCTGCCCTACATGCTTGGAGACCAAGTTCTCCAAGTTCCCCTTCAACAGTGCAACAGGACCAGCCAAGACTCCACTTGCACTTGTGCACATGGATGTGGTGGGGCCCACAAGAGCCCCTTCCCTCTCAGGCAGGCGATATTTCTTGACAATTGTGGATGACCACACTCGAGCAGTGTAGGTTTACCCTTTGAAGAGCAAGGGGGAGGTGGCAGCGGCTGTTCTTAAGGAGTGGATGCCTAGAGCTCAGAGGGAATGCGGACACAAGGTCAAGGTGATCCGCAGTGACAATGGTGGGGAGTTCATTGGAGTTGATTTTGAGAGGGAGTTGAAGAGGAAGGGGATCCAACATCAACTGAGAGTGCCCTACAACCCGCAGCAGAATGGCGTGGCTGAGAGGTTCAACAGAACCCTGCATGAGGGGGCACGCACTCTCCTTGGGCGTGCAGGGCTGCCTGATCCGTTTTGGGTGTCTGTACTTAGGCAGGTCGCCCTTGTGAAGAACAGGGTGCTGGCTACAATTGGGGATAAGGAGTGGATCCCATATACCAAGTGGTATGGGAGTGCTCCAGCTGTGAACATGCTGAGAGCATTTGGGTGCATGGTGGTGTTTCATGTGCCTAAGGAGAAAAGGGGGAAGTTGGAGGCTTCTGGAAGATGGGGTGTGCACTTGGGGATTGCAAAGGAGCACAAGGGGTGGCTGCTGTGGGACTTGACCACCCAGAAGCTGATAGTGTCAAGGGATGTGAAGTTTCTTGAGTCTCTGTACTACAAGGAATGGAAGCAGCAGCAACAGAAGCTTCTATCTACACCACTCATTGTGGAGGCAGATGAGGTGCAGCGGCCTTCAAGACAGGTGGAGGTTGCAGTGTCTGAGGAGGAGATGTCTGGGGTGACTGAGGAAGGGGGAGCAGCTGAGGTGGAGCAGCAGCAGCAGCAGCATGAGTCTCTACCTCGAGATCCACACCCGCCTGAGCGACCTAGGAGGGATGTGCGCCCTCCTGTGAGGCTTACCTATGGGGGAAGAGGCAAGCCGAATGTGGTGCAGGCTGGGAGTGTGGTTGAGCAGATTGAGGAAGATGAGATCGCTCACTGCTACTGGGCACCAATCCCTGAGCCCAAGACTCGAGAAGAAGCCTTGAATGGACCAAATGGGGAGAAGTGGAAGGCAAGTGAGGATGAGGAGTTCAGGTCCCTAATTGAGAACGAGACATGGGACCTGTGTGACTTGCCTCATGGGAAGAAGGCAATCACTTCCAAGATGATCTACAGGCACAAGTATGGACCTGAAGGGGAGCTGACCCGCTATAAGTCTAGGCTTGTGGCAAGGGGGTTTCAGCAGACAAAGGTGAAGGATTATGATGAGGTGTTTGCTCCTGTGGGGAAAGGAACAACACTGAGGGTGCTGTTGGCGATAGCTGCACTCCTGGGTTGGAAGATTCGGCAGATGGACATTGTGACTGGCTTTCTGAATGGGATCATTCTGGAGGAGGTGTACATGAAGCAGCCAGAGGGGCTGGATGATGGGAGCGGCAGGGTCTGCAGGCTGAAGAAGGCCATCTATGGCCTTAAGCAGGCGCCTCATGCATGGTATCACAAGTTGGAGGAGGCACTGCTGGCTGGGGGTTTCAAGACGAGTGAGTGTGACCCCAGCCTGTTCCTGCTGCAGGAGAACGATGAAATCCTCATGTTCTTGGTGTATGTGGATGATATCCTTCTCTTCTCTGCATCAACTGCTTTGCTGGACAGCGCAGAGCAGATGCTGGAGATGCAGTTCAAGTGTTCCAAGATGGGTGAGGTGAAGTACTACTTGGGGATGCATGTGGAGAGAGATGTGGAGAAAGGTGTGCTGAGGTTGCACCAAAGGAAGTACTGTGAGGGGCTGGCTGAGAAGTATGGGCTGCAAGATGGGGGAAAGCCAGCAACACCACTGCCTTCGGGGTTTACTGTGGAGCCATGTGCTGATGAGGAGGTAGTGGGTGAGAGTGACAGGAAGCTGTTTCATTCAATGGTTGGGTCGCTGAACTATGCTGCAAATCATACACGACCTGGCATTGCATTTGCTACATCACGACTGGCTAGCGTGGCTTCACGCCCTAGTCATGAACAGCTGGAAGCGGCCAAGAGGTTGGTCCGCTATGTGAGTGCTACGGCATCAGTGGGATTGGAGTACAGTGGAGTGAGGCAGCGGTTGCAGAGAGGTGCTACAGATGTGAAGAGTGGTGAGATGCTCTTGAGCTGCTATACTGATGCGAGCTTCAACTCAGTGAAAGCGGATGGCACCAGTATTGGGGGTTATGTGTGCTTGTTGGGAGGTGGTGCTGTGAGTTGGCGCAGCAAGAAGCAGAATGAGGTGGGATTGTCCTCATGTGAGACTGAGTACATGGCCTTACACCATGGGGCCAAGGAAGTGGTGTGGCTAAGGCGCTTGTTGGAGGAGTTGGGAGTTGGTCAGGAGGAGCCGGCAGTTATCTTCTGTGACAATGAGTCTGCAGTGAAGCTGGCCAAGAATGCTTGCCTGCATGGGCTGACAAAATACATAAAGCCAAAGTGGCATTGGGTGAGGAGACTCCTAGATAAGGAGGTGCGGCTGGAGATAGTGAAGACCCATCAGCAGGCAGCAGATATTTTCACTAAGCGTTTGGCGGAGGCGGATCATTGGAAGGGCATGAAGCTTGCTGGGATGAGTGTGCATTGAGTATGCATGCTTGAGATATGGTATGGTGGATGATGGTTGGCAGCCAGAGGGGGAGATTGTTGTGTGATGTCATCATATGCTATCACATCCTGTCTGCCTCCCATGCCATGTTTTCAACTTGCATGTATGGTTTGACTGTATGTGAAAGAATTTGTGTGTGGTGTGTTCTGGAGTTTGGGAGTGTGTTTTGTGTTATTTTTGTTTGAGCAGGTATTTGTGAGGATAGATCTTGAGAAGATCTTTCGGATGCAACAAGAATCGCTTCAATCGGAGCAAGAACGCGAAAGCTATGAAGATTCAAAGTTCATGAGCTTGCGTTACAATTGCGGCGGTTACACAGTGAAGTTGTGGGGTGACTCTATATGGAGTTGGGACCATTGGGGGTTGGGGAAATTCGTCACTCCACTGTAGCAGCTGCAAATTGGTTGGGAACAACCAAACTAGATTGGCAAGGGCGGCCAACTTGGATGGATTGGTTGGGAAGGGACAAAGGTCAAAGTTGAGGTTCCTATAGGGAGGGAACTTTGTGCTTATGGGGGTTTCCTTGGTTGGGGACTCTATTGGGACCTTCCCTCTCATTCCTCTCTTCCCTTCAAACCTTTCTCTTGCTCCTCTAATTCCTTGTGAGATTCTTGAACTTTGATTGAACTTTTGAGATTGAGTTAAGTTCTCCTCCTACAGCTTACCCCCCAGTGCGTCGAAAGACATAGCGTCGCGAATACTCCATCAATCGACGTGATTCAAATTCAGAACGGTAGATAGTATTACAAGCTACAGCATATCCAATTTTTGGGACATTCCAACGGTTATTGTGACGTCGACGTTGTTTCTTGTGAAGACGACTTTTCTGTTCAGAATTTCGGATTTATATTTTGAGTAATTCTAGCTCCTTAGTTCACCTAGACTTCGTCCTTAATCCTAACAGAAGGGTCGGCGAAACCTGAGGCCACTGGGATTTCGGCCACAGATTAAGCTGGTGAACGGCGTAGCGAGCAGTGAACGGCCACAGAAAATGGGGTGCACCAGCATGGATCATGGAGGTACGAGCCACCTCCAAGACTAAACCGATGCGTTGCTCAGTGACCCCATTCTACTGCGGGGAGTGCGACAGGGTGTATGACTGGGTGATGCCCTCTGCACGACAGAATTGGCCAAGCCGACTAGAGTCAAACTCGCCGCCACAGTCGGAGTGGAGACGCAGCAAAGGGAAACCGCGGTGGACTCGCGCAGCTACGACCTACATGATAAGAACATCAGGCAAGTGTAGTACTCTTGGCCTCCGATGCCAACACAGCTGATATCTTTATGAAGGCGTTTGAGCATAAAGATCATCACTGGCAGTGTGTACAGCTTGGTCTAGTTCCTGTAGCTTCTCACCTGCTAGGACCTTGATTGTCTAATATATGTGATACTAGCTTGACTGGGCTTGTGTCTTCTATTCCTGTGGCCGAACTAGTAGTGCCGCCCTGGTTTGCTCTTGTCTAGTTTGTACTCTTCTGACTGGTCTTCGGACCCTTGCCTCAGAGGTTGGACTAGTAGTGCCACCCTGAGCTGCGTGTCTCTTGCTAGGCACTGCCCTTTGTCTAGCCTAGGGGTGTGTCAGCATATTGATGTATATTGTTAGAGGCTATATAGGTGCATGCCATTGCGAGTACACAACGTAGCATAAAACTACCTTGTACCACCCTGTGTGTGTGTGATTGTTGCTGCATCTTGCACGCGCTGTTGTGTGGCGATTTGTTACAACATTCTGTGTACCATATTTTTTTACAAAGTGTTCTAGCGGATTGGGTGTTTATTTTGTATCCTACCCTCATCAGGAAAGGATTCTTGCTTATTGCAACCAATCTGCCAACTCACCTCTGCAATTTTGGTTGGATTTTCTCCCTATCAGGGCTTCAGATTCGTTTTGAGGCATGCTGATCCCTCCAAGAGTGAATTTATCAGAATCTTTTAGTATGATTGTCTGAAAATTCAGTCCAATTTTTTGCCAATCCTGATTTTTCAGACGTTGCGCTCTGAATGTCAGCTTAAATATTATTTCTATATATATGTGTAGGCTTGATAGGTGTCCTACAATGGATCCTACTATAGAGGGTACAACACCCTTCTTGTATCCCTCTCTCTTCTAGTCCAACTCTGTTTTCTCTCGTCACTTTTCTCCCTAGCTAAAACCTCTCGCCATTCTCATGCCCAACTGGCTTCTTAGCTCCTTTCAACATTGAATACGGAACACTTAAAAGTTAGAAGTTTTTATGTCCTGAATTTTAGACTTTCCAGTTTGATGTACCCAACAGTTTTGCCTTGCCTAATCAGCCACTCTTTCTCGATATGGTATCAGAGCCAGGCACTCCTAGCCATCACGCTTCCGGCCTAGGCGCTCTCCACTTGCCTCCCACCCTAGCCTACCTCCTTAGTCTTTCGCTAGGCTTTAGACTATTGCTCTAGCCTCCCCTAGCCTTAGCTCCTGCTCTACGTCGCTGCCCTGGCTTAGCACTGCCCGCATTTTGCCACCAGCTTGCCTGCCAGCCGCCGCCAGCTTGCCACCGCCAGCAGCACGCTAGTCGCTGCCCGATCGACGCCAGCAGCCCGCTCGCAGTGCGCCATCGCCTCCCAGCCGCCAGCTTGCTTGCTGCCAGCTCGCCGCCTGCAGCTGCCGCCTGCTCGCCACGGCCAGCAGATCGCCAGCTGCTAATAGCTCGCCGCCAGCATCTCCCGCCAGCTAGCCGCTGCCAGCGGCTTGCTTGCCGCTCGCCGCCGCCCGCTTGCCGTCAGCTCGCTCGCTGCCCACTCACCGCTGGCAGCTACCCGCTGCCAGCTAGCCGCCATTTAGCCACCACCAGCAGCTCGCCGCCATTTAGCCACCACCAGCAGCTCGCCGCCAGTTAGCCGCCACCAGCACGCTGCCAGCAGCTAAGCCGCCAGCTCGCCGCCAGCCGCCAGCCACCAGCAGCGTGCTGCCAGCACCTAGCCGCCAGCTTGCCGCCTGCATCATGCCACCAGCTCGCTGCCAGTAACACGCCACCAGCAGCTCGGAGCCAGCATGCTGCTAGCAGCAAGCCACCCACAGCTTGATGCTAGCCAGCTCACCACAAGCCTGCTGTTGCCCGCTCACCGCCAGCAGCCTCTGCTGCCTGCCGCCGCTGCCAACCGCCACCAGCCAGATGCTGCTGCCAGTCGCTCACCACGCTGCCAGCCGCCGCTGTCAGCTGCTAACCGCCCGTTGCCAGCCACCTGCTGCTGCCGGCCGTCACCGCGAACCGCCACTGCCAGCCTCTAGTCGCCAGCAGCCAAATGCTAGCCACCACTGCCAGCTCGCCGCCAGCTTGCAGCTGCTGCCAGCCTCTCCCTGCTACTGCCTCCCACCTGACATTGCTGCCAGCCTGCCGCTTGTCCTGCTTCAAGCATGACGACTCCTTCGTCTTCCGTCTTCGTTCTGTGCCTAGGTGATGAGGGCCATGCGGTGGGCTTTTGGGCCTGGTTCTCCTCTCTCCGCTGCCATCTGCTGAGCCAGTGTGTTGATGGCGAATCCCTGGCAGCCCAAAACACTGGTGAGCTCCTTGCCTCCGCTCATCCTGATCCTCTTGGCCCTGAGGCAACGTCGGCGCAGCAAGAGGTTTTTTGCAGCTGCTAGGACTGCCCGCGCCATCTAGAACTCTTGCAAGGCTGCGGCGCAGGTAGCTATCACCAGGTGCCTGCCAGTTGATGAGCACTCCCAATTCGAGACGTAGGAGACGGCTCAGTCCCTCTGGGAGGCGCTTGTCGCCCGCTAGTCCTCCCCCTCCTCTGCCACCCTCGGCCGCCTCCGTCTCCCCTTCCTCTTCCCCAACCTAGCCTCCCTCTCCAACATCACGAAACTCGTCGTCCACCTGCGCGACCTCCAGGTACAGGTCTGTGCCACCTCCACCGAAAACCAGCTTGCCGTACCCCCCCCCCCCCTCCACCCTTGTCCCCCTATGCTTCCTCATCACTCGCCTTCCCGACCGCCTCGCTCCTATGCTTGACACTCTGCATACACTGCACCCCTGTGCCCTTACCATCGACCCCTTCTCCACCTTCCTGGCGGAGAACGAGGCCCGCCTCCGCGCCATCGCAAAGTCCATTTGGGCAGTAGCGGTCCCTGTATTTTACGGGTGCACCCCATCCCATGCCCTTGTCTTGGCTGCCTTATGCCTTTGTCGCTGACACCGCTGCGGCAGTCACTGCGTCTGGCTGCTCGGCCAAGCGCTCGGGGCGCCGAGGTGGTTGTGGGGCATCGGCAGGAGATCAGGGCGCTGGTGAGGCCTCGGGATCTAGCGAAGGTGTGGGTGTGGAGGAGGAGGGGGGACAGAAGCAGCCGCCACAGCAGCAGCAGCAGCAGTAGGCTGTCACAACACTGGGGCTCTCGTGGCTCCTTTGGGGGCCAGGGTGGCGTTAGGCCTGGGTTTCTTGTGCGCAGTACGTACCAGATCTAGTTCGGCCGTCTGAGCGGCCAGACCGGCGGGCACACGAGCGACATCGCCGCTGGTTTCTTTTGTCGCCTGGATGACCAGCTCCATCGTCACTTTGGGCCCCAAGCGGGCCTTCCCAAGTGGCTTGTTATTTTTTATCGTGGTGTCTTAGTGTTTGAGCTATGCATGACATAGATAGCTTCTGCCATGTATTCTATGCACTGTGATGATTTTAGTGGTGCAGACACTTATTATCATGCAGTGTGAAGTCCATTAACCTCTGATGTGTGTAGTTTATGATCTTCTGCTTTGTGTAGTCTAGCATCCTTCTCAGCCTCTGCAAAGGCTGCCCTCTCCTTCATTATGGACTCGGGCGCATCCCACTGCTTCTTCCGTGACCTCACTACACTCGCGCCACTTCCTGCACCGGATCTAGTCCCCCTAGCTGACTCGCCTGCCATAGTCATCGCTTGCAGTGCGACCATTCTCCCTTGTCCAGCTGTCCCATATGGCTCCCTTATCGGCTTCCATATCCCCACCTTCTCCAGGAACTTGGTTGATGTCGGCCATATCCAGAACCTTGGCGTCACCGCCATGTTCCCTTGTCGTAAGAGATATGCAGTCTGTACGAACACTGCCACGGGCGCCGGTCTTCCCAACTTTT